CACCAGCCCCTGCCCCGGGAGGGCCCTTGTGGGAGGGGGGCTGGGTGCAGGTTGTGCAGGAGGAGGAGAAGACTCGAGCTGTGGGAACAGCTGAATAACCTTCCTCTTCCTCTTCCTCTTCCTCTCCCTCTCCCATTCTCTTCCTGGCTGGAAGTCACGTGTCAGTCGTGGAGAGAGACGTGGTGCTGCTGGATCTCCGATAGGCCTCTTGCCTTAACTGTTTACAGGAACCCTCCCACCCTCCTCCTGGGCCCAGGGAACTGGGACTTTTGTCCTCCTGTAGCAGATGATTTCCACCCTTCCCCTCCCTCCATGAATGACCACGGGGAGATCAGTGCCCTGACCTGGGCAGGCACACGTGAAGCCTCAGTGCCTGGCCTGGGGCTGAGGTTGGAGGTGAGGGCTGGCTGGAAATTCAGAGACAGAAGTTAACACTGACACAGGTTAACACTCTAATCGATGGCTTTGAACAGCTTCTTGGGGCCTTCCCTGGGACCTGCTGCAACCACGAGCTGTGGAAACCTCTTCAAGTGCTTTCCAAAGCGGGACTTGGCCAAATTACCCCAAGCTTTGTTTTGCCTCTCTCTGGGTTGCTGTGGTTTGGAGTAGATTAGTTTTTGCTATAGTCTTAAATTAAACCTCCCAAGCTCCTCTCAGCCCATGCGAGAGCTTATTGCTGCTGAGCTGGCTCCTCCCTGGTGCTCAGGTCTTTGCCTGTGAGCTAAGGAGAGCTCCAAGCTCCTCTGGACACCCTCAGTTCAGCGTTTGGGGGAGAAGGTGCCGGGGTGCAGCACCTGAGGGCTGCTCGCTTTGCCCTTTCCCTGGGGGCAGGATTCCCTCTGCCTGGGGGCTGGAGTTACCACGGAGGAGAAACTCACTCTGTGGGCTGCAGCGTGCTGTGTGCAGGCTCTGCCAGGGCACTGCCTCCACCACGGGACTCGGGCACCTCCTGCCTCCTGGACCCTCACAGCTCCCCACGGCCAACGCTCCTCGGGCAGCGGGAGACAAACCGGTGCCAAAACGGAGTGCTCGGGATGCCCCCCTGCCAGCCAGGGCCCTCCCGTGGGACAGCCAGCACCCTGACCCCCCGCGGGACAGCACCTGCCCCCCGAGGGCGTCCCCACATCCACTGGGGGTGCCCCGAGGAGCCGGAGGGGCTGG